TCATACCTACTGAGGAAGGAGATGGAAAAGATAATGAATTGGATGATGAGTGGTTGTCAGGACTTGTGCCTTGAATATCAAGACATAAAATAAAATGGAACTGTAGTGATAGTCTATTTAACGTATCTAATCTATGCAAAAATCTGGCAGAAGTTGGACAAGACAGATGTACTAAGGGTAGCCTTTAGACAGCACTGAATATTGTCTAACTAGAGTGAAAATTTTCAGCGTGTTCAATTTCAGGTTTCAGGAAAAATTGAAGGGAAAAAGAACATGATCCTTCTGAAGTATTTCTCAGTAGTAAGGGAAACTATAGTGTTTGGAAAAAAAGAAAAACAAACTTTTCTCTCGGTCTTGGTCATCTTTCCCAGAAAATCTTTTAAAAAATGTTGTTGACAAGTTATTATCGACACCCATGTGAGGTTCCTGAAAAAAAAATGCATATACTGTTTGTGGTTTGCTTTTTTAACTCTATTATTAAACTTAATAGTAAATATAACATTTCATTCATGCAATTTTGAAAGTACATGAATAAAGCCCTCACATATGTTGTAATATGTTTCATACGAGGAACAAAGCGCTCACATATGTTGTATTATGTTTCTACTAGTATGCAAATGCTTCTTTTGTAACTGAGTATTTTTACTATTATTTGAATATTCAGGGATATTGAATGTCACATCAAGTTGTAATATATGAAAAAAGGAATGCTATGAGATAAAAGTGCAACTTAAAGAAGAGACAGCAAGCTCTAGTATATGAAAGAAAAACATTTTTTTCCTAGGAGACAGGCCACAGAAACAAATATGTATCTAGCTGACATTTCTTTGTATCTTATTCAAGCAGAATAAAACTAAAATTATCTCACATGCCTATAGGCTACCCGGGTGTTATGCACAGAAATAGAGAAGGGATCATTTCATATGTGCATTTCATTCAGCAGCTCATTCTAGTTGCTGAGAAATCATCTGATAAAATAAATCTTTTAAAAATAGAAGACATTTCCACTTAAATATTTTTCATGCTATAAGTGAAGTACTTTAACCAGGGGCAAATTCTACTGCTTGGACTGACTTTGAAAAAAATGTTACATGAGCTGGCTAAAAATAAATACATCATTTGGGAAGGAAAGCTATACATGAATTTTCCTCTGGAGCAACAGTATCAATATAAAAGGAAAGTATCTAGTACTAAACAAAATTATAATTTTACAGCAAAGCTAAAACCTGTGATCTGTCCTTTATAAATGACAGTCAGTCTTTCTTTGCAACCTGAGGGTAGAATGAGTAAGAAAAAGATGAGGGTTTTGTTAGAAACAGTCTGATTTACTTAGCGATGTATGCAGGAGCAAGGCTTCCAAGATCAGGTACATTTTAAAGAAACTGAAATAAATGGGTCTTGTAGGTTCATAATTGTACAATATCCTACCCAACTTGTCACTCAGGAGAAAAAAAAGCTATGATCATGATTTTCAAAAGAAACATCTGGAAGCATGGCTGCTGCTGCTGTCTTGCTCCTGCAACTGCTTTAATTTTTATAACACAGCCTGGTGATCAGATCATTTACTCAGGGCATAACATGACTGTGTTGTCTGCTTTGAAACCCCACATATTCTACTTCCCCAGACAGTGCATTAATCACCAGAGTTAGTGCTTTGATCCCCCTGTTTAAGTTGTCTCACTGTGCACAAATAAGCGTAAGTCAGACAGCTACAGGAGAGGATGACACCATGGCCTAGAAATTAGAGATGCTTGGATGGATTCAAGCTCTCGGGGTTATGTCAGTTCTTACCTTAGGATATTTGCTATAAAGCTTGGGAAAATGCTAAATACACCCATCTTTCTTTTTTTCTTCTATAATTTTAAAGAGAACTAGATGTCTGTTCTTAACCAAAGATTCTGGAATGCTTCTTCTTACCTTTTTCTAAGTTTTGGGAATTATTCAGTTTTCAGACTTGTACAAAACATTTTTTTTAACCTTGTTACTTTCCTGTCCAGCATGCAGATGTTTTCTGTAACTCCTCCAATTTCTCTTCCTGCAGTTCTTGTATAAAGAAACTGGGTTTCGGCAGGTGAATTCCTGCTTCTGAAGATCTAGGAGCTTGGAAATGATGCTGCTGTGCCTAACTTCTTTGGATCTGTCCCAAAGCCATTTCAGGGAACTGCTGTCTTGTTCTTGCAAATCTAACTGGTAGTTCTCATATCAGACACATAGGTAGAGCCATTGCTCCTACATGCTGCAAAATTTTCTGCCTCAGGCCAGCTACTTTGCCTATATTCTATTTTTCAGTGTCTGGAGATGTAAAATAGAATTAGACAAGGCAATATGGGAAAAGCTTTATTACTCATAACTTCCTTATGAAATCAAATTTGATCTTTCTCTGTAACTAGAAGATTTTGAAGTGATCATTTGTATTTTGTTCAGGTCTTCTTTCATGAACATTGCCTTTCTCTGCTCTGTGAATGTGCAGCAGGGAATTTACTCCCACTGAATCAAATGATTAAAAACAAGACTTCAGTGAAAAATATTCTGCTGAAAAATACAATTGAACAACTACAGTGCTATTCAGCTAATATGTGTTGGATCCCTGTGGTGTAGTTTGTGGGAATTGCGAGGTCCTGCAAGTTTTCTATAAAGCAAACCAGATGCCTATTTGTTCAAGAATGCCCAATTGTTGTACAACTTGTCCTCACAAGGGCTGAACAAAAGGAAAAATACATCTGAGCTTTACAAAGCTGTTAAAGCAACAGTTTCTTAACTTTTAAAACATATTATTATTTTAAATTATTATTATTAATTTTAAAATTATACCTTTTGCTTGTTCAGTCAAACACTATGGTGCTTTCTGTTTGAAGCATAATTGTATATAGTGAATATTCCTGCCATCTGTATGTACTCTGGTACAACTGCTTCATATTAACCTTCTATTTAGCCACATTAATTATAAAGGTGACATAGGTTATCAGGAGGATTTTCTGCTTGGGTTGGCTGTGAAGTTTTGCTTCAATACTGAATGTATAATATTGCCTAAACTCCTTGACATTTGCAGCAAATAATTATCTTTCAATTTCAGTCAAGAAAATTTCTGCTGTCAGATTCTTCCATTGCCGTCACATTGAAAGCCTGTTTTATAACATTACCATCTGTCCATTGTAATGAAAGTCAGATCAGGCTTTCATACTCACCCCGAAATTTTTTGTAAAAGCATTGCATTATCTATGCTACAAACAGTTCTGACATACTGACTGATAGATAATTACCTCCCCTTTCGCTCAGATGTTACTTTGTTCCAGTAAAATAAGACACCCCCCCCGAAATAGTTTAATAAAATTATGTGCTTTTTGTTTATGATCTATGATATCTTTCAGATAATCCAGTTTGTTCATTCTATATGAAGGAAATTCTACAGGAAATATCTATAAGTAGATATTCTACTTATTGATCCTAAACCTGTAAATCTAGATCTCACACTAAGATGGGTACTTATCATTCATCTGTTTTCCCCTGTATTTCCAGAATCTTTGGATTGCTGGAATTTCTTAAGAAAAGCTTACTTCATTTTATTTTTGTTCTTCACCTCATTTTTTCTGCTAGAAATCTCTTCCAAAGTACACTTATTTTAAGGGGAAAAGGCAATTTCCAAATACTTTCTTATTACAAGGAATATTAGAATTTAATGCATATCTGTGCCTTCCTCCTCACACATCTTGTGTTAGCTTCGATCATGGCATCAGACAGAACCTTTGGTTTTGTCTTGTGTGTCTGTGCCTTGAAAGGGCATAACTGTTGTATGCTTTCAATCCACTTTTATGTTCTAAGCGAGATATCGAGGGAGATAAGTAGATTGTATGACGGATTGAGTTAACAAATGTTAATTTTATTGCACGTAAAAAGTATTGCTGTTAACTGAAAGATAATTCTGTAAAGCCTGTTTTATCTAAGTTGGTTTCACCTTCTCTGCTCTCCTCATGATATTTGCATATAATGCAAAATAAGGCTTTACGAAGAGATTATTTGAAATAGGTGGAGTTGTAATTTTACCTTTTCATTGAAATTCTAGTGTAACACCAGGTTTGGTCAAACTCCTGGATCTTCTCTGCGATAGAAAACTCTTAGGTCTTTTTTTCTTTCTGTGTTTTGAAACATGGTTTCAATGTCAAGCCATCTGTGCTGCTACAAATTCCTTTAAGCCTAGAGTCTTCAGAAGTTGCTGAATTTTTCCAGTGTTATGACTGGTGGTTAGATCATACTCACATTTTATCCCTCACTAAATGATACCTTGTATAGACTTCTTCCTTTTCATAATCCAAGGGCACAGCAGCCCTTCGCAAAATATTTCTGGGGCTGGCCCACTGATCCAAGCTGCTGCCACAGTTGGGATGAGAACTGTGTAAGTATACCTTGTGTAGGTACAGTGCATAGCCATATACATAAATGCATACATATCCTTTGCAATCTTCTACAATTCTCTTTTGTAATAAACACTTTTTCTAATCCCTACTAGGATTAGGTAAAAACTATATATATATAGCCAGAATATGTAGGCATGGTGAAGATCTAGGGCAGGAATCTGCAAAGCAGGAACTTAATATGTATCATCTTGTTTCTAGCTTTTTAGGACGCTGAGTTATTACTGATTTGGGGATATTCATGTAAATCATATAAATCACTTCTTTAAGTTACCTTTATGTTTCATTTATGCTCTTCCATATTACTGCCCCCTGTACGTGTGAACAGAGGGAAGACTTAATGGTGAATTCCTATGTGCATAAGTTTTTACATAAAGATAAATCGGCACTGGGTACTTCAGTAGTAACTTCAGATTTTCTGTACAAGTAAGGATGAAAGAAAGTCTTCCTTCTTTGAAAATCATGTATGTTTCACATATTCCTTTGGTAAAATAGAGGATTCTTCTTTGAAAATTTGTTCTATCTACCTCCTACACAGCTGTTGTAATCCCTGAAAAAGTATTGATAGGATAATACATTACGCAAACTTACAGCTTTCCAGCTGCATTATACACGTTTGCACATCCATTGGAAAATTTTTTAGATCCATCGGACAGGACAGTATTAAAGTCAATCTGAAAGAACACAAAAAAAGTATTAAAAATTTACCATAAAATGCCATAAAAGTGCACAGGAAGGATGCATGAAAATACTGGAAGTCATTAGGAATTGAAGAAAATGCATTTTTTTTTTTTTTTATTAGAAAGCTTTCAGGAGGGCTACAGATTATCTGAACCCATTTCACTCACTCAGCTTAGTTTGATGATGTGGAAAAAAATTATGACAGACTTTCAGAAAAACAATTTTTCAGTGGGGTTGCCTAAGTCTATGAGAGGTCTTAAGGAATTCAACAACAGCATGCTTTTTGTGTTAAGCAGAATTATTGGATTGGTACAGTGTTTCAAACATAAAATTCACCCAGACCTACAAGAATTTCATAACAGATGTCAGCTGCAAATCATGATGGCAAAGTAATTTACGTGTTATTGTTCTAAAATAAGGTGCTTAATTTGTCAACAAAAGGTTTAAGATAACATTTTATGATACTGATGGCACACTGAAACATGCCTGTAATTTTGAACTGCAGCTGTGTTTCATGTTAGTCCTGATACTTCCTGTTAAATACTTTGCAGCCTATAAGCAAAAGGGGTATTTTTACTTTTTATGTCAATGTAACTTATATTTAAAGTAGTACTTCTGGAGAAGGGTCAGGTGTCTTCTGGTGAAGACTTATTCTCTGAAGTCTTATGAAGAACAGCTGAGGGAACTGGGGTTGTTTAGTCTGGAGAAGAGAAGTCTCCTGGGGGACATTATTGCTCTCTATAACTACCTGAAAGGAGTATCGGTCTTGGGGAATGGTCTCTTCTTCCAAGTAACAAGCGATAGGACAAGAGATAACAGCCTCAAGCTCTGCCGGGGACAGGGTTTAGACTGGATATTTGCAAAAAACTTCTTCACAGAGAGGGCAATCAGGCATTGGAACAGGCTGCCCAGGGCAGTGGTGGGATCACCATCCTTGGAAGTACTCAAAAACCATGCAGATAAGGCCCTCAGAGAGATGACTTAGTGGTGGTGTTGGTAACGGTTGGACTTGATGATCTTAAAGGTCTTTTCCAACTTAACTGATTCTGTGGTTCTAAGAAGTAAAGGTACATGTTTTTTCTCACTGGTGTTCTTTAGTTATCCTTTCATCATCCAGTGCCATGACTTCACCTTCATTTATCAGATCAGTTGATAGAATGTTCTCCAAAAACCTTACACAGGTCATTCCCCTTTTTTTTGGAATTAGGGCTAAAGGGAAATGGGCATTAGGTGGGAAGGGTGTCTATGTATTTCTTTTATTTTTCTTTTTTGCTTCCAAAGCTTCTTGATTGTTACTATAACTTCTGTTTAGCCTGGCAATGACAGAGCTGCAGAGGGACAGCCTGAGGAGGGAACTCAGAGCCAGACTCTATTACCATGCAATTAAAAATGGTCCTATACACAAAATCTGACTAGTAGGCTTATAACATGACAAGTAATTTCAGAGAAGAGGCACCTGGACTTTGCTTTGTGCTTCAGTAAGTATTCAGATGTTCATTGAACCAAGGACTGTAACCGTATTATTTTCATGAGAATATTATAATTCCAATGCAGTTAGGGGAGGAGGAATAGTTAGGGAATGAAAGGAAAAAGAAAATTTAGAAATATTCTCCTTTTTTTCCCTTTTAATATTAAATCTAGCATGTTCGCAATTAACATGTTGCCCCTCATCAAAAGCTGAACTGACTCAGCTAAAAGGCAATTATATGATTTTAAATGTTTCAGAAATTGTAATACTTCTTAATTAAATCATGGCAACATAAACTTTCTGGCTCCATAAGAAACACAAGAGCTGTAATTTTCTTTCATCACCATCAGTGTTTGCTTTTATAATTTAGTATTATACATTTCTCATGTTTGTCTTCTTTCTCCCATTTCATGTGACCCTGAATTTGATCTGAATTCTATTGAAGTTGAAATCCAAACTTGCTTCAGTTGAGTGGTGGTGTCTACACCCTGTGCTGTATGTATCTGGAGGGAGTGGGGTAAGGAGGAGTTATTTGGCTAGAGTGGAAAAACTGCCAGTGCCTCTCAGGGTGATTCAGACAGTCTGGAGAAAGTTGATTTACCTCTTCTTTCTACTTGGGTCCAGAGAAAGAATCTTTTTTACTTGCTTTCCATCTGTTTCTAGTGACAGAATGCATGTTGTGACACTGAAGAATGATTATGTTCCCAGACTGGCAGGCTAACCTCCTTTTTGGATATGAAACACAAGAATTTTAACCCAACCCTTTCTTCCTATGTAAGCTTGACAAGACACTGCCCACTTGCACTGCAAGGAAGGAGGAGACTCCCTTGCTCACTGATACATCCATGAAAGGCACAGATGTTTTGTTTTTCTTTCAGTATACAAATTGCTTCACAAATTCCTGATGTGTCTTCAAAAAAGTCCAATTAACTATTAATGCAGTGTTATAAAAACATGCGAAGCAAAATGCTAACTGGATGAGAGGCTTATTTACTTTCAAAAGTGTAACATTTTGCACACGTAGGTCACTGTATTAATACCAAATCTATACCATGTCTATTGGGGCTTTAGTATACTTATATCTGATGTGTTTCTCACTAGATCAGGTTTTTGAAGGTAATGGCAAAATGCCTACTAACGTCAGTATCAATAAAAGGAAAGTGGTGAGAAGAGAAGAGAAGAGAAAAGAAGTAGGATAACTAGATTTTGTCAATACTTATGATTGCTGCTCACAGCTTCTTAAACCTTTTCAAAAGTTTACTTCCCACTTTTCTCTCCATTTCCAGCAGTAAGTGATCTATTCTTTAAATGTCATGCTTCCTCAAACAGGTCATGTTTCCATGTTGAAGTGCAACTGAAATATCCAAAAAGGTGAAAATGAAATAAAATTGGATTGTCATGACATTTGGTGGCTACAGCATGTGAAACTCATACATAGGCCAGTTCAGATTATGCCATTCCAGGATTATTTGCTCTGTGCAAGTGCCCTAGCTCCACTATGCTCAGTATCTGTATTTTAAAATGGGAAATATACTTTTCTTACTATTTTTACTATGTGCATCTAATGAGGAATCATTTTCAATTTTAGTATTAACAATGAACAGTAATGATGATAAAAATCTGTATTCAAAACTCACAACTATTTCAGATATAGCACTGCATGACTAGCAACTGAAGATATCCATTAGGATTTCTTTGGTACATTTTTGAGCTTCTATCTGCAAACAAAATATAATTTGATTAGAGACTCACCTGATGGAATAAAGTACATTCCCATTTTTGAAAATTCGCAACAACTTATTATCTGTTGTAACTTCATGAAAGTTGGCACCTTTTTCATTAGCAAAGAACAAATCAGGTTTCCAAATTGAATCCAACATGGATGGATCTAAGTCTAAAGAGTCATCTGGATATTCACTGTATGCGAGGCGTGGATCATTCCAATTCTGTCGGAGAAAGATGTTCACTCGGTAATCCTGAATGAAAGAGAAAACAAGCAAGGCTTTATTGAGCATAGGGATTTAGCTTTTATTTCATTTCTTAGCCATGTAATCCCCTGTCCATCTGTGTGGATGACAAAAGTATTACTTAGCTGAATACCAGCATGATACCTATTTGTATTAGTGGGGACACAATGGATAAGAATAAAGATGTATTTCAGGGCTATTGAAAAATCCCAAGCTAAGAAAATCCAGCCTCCATGTACAGTTCATAAAACTCCATATAACTTTACCCTTACAGTAACTTTGTCTTGAAGTCAAAATGAGAGAAGCATAAAAAGATTTTTATGGAGTTACTTTTTTCTGCCCAACTCCTGGCTGGGGCTTTCCCATTTCTCCTTCTTTTTCAGTGAGAATCTGTTCCACTATAAGGGAAGTTAATTTACTTTTTGTCTCTCTAGTCCTTACATATTTTAGACCCACCACTTACACTTCCTGTGCCTCAGTTCCCTGTTGAAAATTGTGTGAGAAATAAGTTTCCAGACAACTGTCTGAGGAGGGTGAATGTTCCTCCTCTCAAATACGGTGGAGATCATAGCATCACAGAATGGTTTGGTTGGAAGGGACTTTAAAGATCCAGTTCCAACCCCACTGTCATGGGCTGGGACACCTTCCACTAAACCAGCTTGCTCAGAGCTCCATCCAACCTGGCCATGTATAAGATCATATAAGTCCTTATGACAGATTAGCTTAGGTACAAGTGGAGTCAGCTTAATTCTTACAGATAGTCCTGTCTTAATCAAGGGTGCTTTTATAGAAAAGAAAATTGGAGTGCTTCAAACTCCTGGAATTAATTTTGGAGTTGTATATACTCTCTGTCAGAGACAATGTTGTATTTATGGTTACACACATTCTTCAAACTTTATCACTCTGAAAGGTGAAAGTCTTTGTTTTTAATAAAAGTGAATGTTAGCATCTCATGTTATATCAAGAACTGAGAGAATTGAGACACTGAGCATAAGGACATAGGAACTACACTTTTAAAGGCTATTACTTGTTTTAAGGAATTAATTATTTTTTACCCCCCCCCCCTTTCAGAAAAGGACTAAGAGAAAATTCCCCTCTTTTTCTGGCTAGTGGTAGCCTCAAGAGCCATAAAAATGTCTTAAGAGAAACTATTGGTACTTTTAATAATTAGCAACATGGCATGAAGAAATGAGAGCTAGGGTTTGGTTTTTTTTTTTCTTTTTCTAAACTAAGCCAAAACCCTTAGACAGGTCTGTGCTCAGTGTTCATAAAACTTAGCTTTTATTGTCTTCCATGCAGCAAGAAAACATAATATCCCCCGAAATATCCTTATTTATTTGCATGATATCCCAAATATCACATAGTACCAGTTCCCCTTCCAAATTCCTGTATAAAATCAAAGGTGAGGAAGAAGCAGGATGTGGGAGCAGTGACGGCTCTACTACCTGCCTCAACACGTGGAATGCTTGCACTGAAGGAAACACTAACTCTAAACCTGGGGCTCTGGGTGTGAGCACTGCAGCTCTCAGGACTTCCTCTGCACTTCAGCCAAACCTAAGCTTTACCTGTAAATTTTTATAACCCAAAGTGAGAATATTTATTTTACATTTCTCTGTAGAATATGATGAATTTCTGAATGGGACTTCTCAACCATCTAAGACAGAATAGGTGGAAAATGTATAGCAGAAAGCTGAGTGAAAATGGAGAAAGACAAATGGAGGAATCTGTTCAAGGTTCTATTAAGCTATTCTGTGTGGCATTTTGCATAAAGTTTATTGGTTTAAACTGTTTCAAGCTCTTAAGATAAAAAGAATCTTAGTTAAAATTTTCATTGAAGCAAATGAGCTATTTTTCACGGTTCTCTCCCTTGACAGGTCTGATTTAAATCGGCTGTCATTATTCATGAAAAAATTCCTAATCTATCAAAAGGAAAGGGATATATTTGATTGCTACTGTATGAAAGACAAGTATTCATAGTCTCAGTTTATAATTACACATTGTGAGCATAAGGCTAAACTGCTTTAAACAAGTAGAGTTTCCTGATGTAAACACAGAGACCAGAATTTAGCTGCCAGAATTGGTTTGTTTTCTTACAAGAGGATTGCTATTCTCACGTGCTACTTGCCTAGAGCGGGTGACTCCCAACTCAGATAACTGTGCTGGGGAGGTTCCTTGAGGGGAGAGAGAAATCATCAAATCATCATTTAAGTTGTGGTGACTTCCAGAGCCTGAAGGCTACCATTGTCTGAACAGCTGCTGTACCCTGGTTCTATAGAATGAGTCTTTATGGGTTTGCACTTGATCCACTGTCCTTTGAAACCCTTAGCCACAGGGTGAACTTTCTTACAGGGTCAGGATTCTGTTCATCAGCTTCATAGGGCTCAGCAAAATAAAAATTGGGAGATCAGGTAATTGTGCTTTGTTGAAGCTGAGGCTGAGGCTATTAGGGACTCTAGTACTAACATTTTCATTAACAATTTCCAACACACAGTAAAATTTTAAGTGCTTAAAGATTTCTTCTTCATTATACTGATACAGGTGGAGCTATATTCCCACAGCATACAGAATATAGCTAGACTGCCGAATGGAAACTTCTGCACAAATCCTCAAGATATTAATTGACTAACTATCACTGGTTTCTTTAATGTATTATTTAACATTCACTGTATGCAGAATGCTTCTAGATCTGAGAGAAGGATATATTAAAATTTCCAAAATATGCCTTTCATCTGAACATTGCATATCACCTGCTCTCGTAATTTTTGAATGCTGCCATTGGAACCAAATAATCAAATTTTCATGCATAAATGAATAATCTTCCAGAACTCTATTTGCTGAAGTTTTAAATACTATTACAATTTTGCCTGATATTTCCAAGGCTTGTCTTTTGCATAACGTTGTAACATGACTCTAGCTTTATTTGATCTAGCTCACTACAATTTTAACATGAAAATCTTATGGACTTTCTATGAACACTTGTAAGAGTAAATTTAAAGCCACTTTAAATTTATGGCTTTATTTTTCTCATATTATTCTTCTCATGAACAACATGAGAAATATTGTTCTTGTGAAGATTTTTTAAAAGTTTGATAACTGTGGCTCTTTGTTGTAATGAAAACTGGATATTATCCCCTATTCCTAAGAAGATGCCACAGATGTACTGGAAAGAGCTGCTCACAAGAAGACTGAAGTAAGAAATGAATATTATCAGGGTTACCTGCTGCTAAGGAATGAAAATTAGAAGGTAAAAATCTAGAGAACTGCTAGAGTCATGGGGGGAAAGAAGGGATGATTTAAATAGTTTATGCAGATGTCACAAGGGAGAAGGGTATGTATCAGGAAAAATAAGATCCAAGGGAATCCTGGCCTAAAAAAGTAACAAATGTCTTGAATAGCGGCTTCAAAATAAGTATCATTTTATAATTATGAAGAGTTATTTAATTTATTGCATTTGTTTATCACCCCTCAGTGAATGAGACTATTTATCCATCCTCGCTCTCCCAAGTTGTCAGATGTTGAGTTATTAGGTATTCAGTTGCTAGTGAAATAGTACTAGCAATTTCATACTTCAGAACATCATTGGTATGCCAAAATACAAAAAAATATGTAGAGCATGTATTACTTCATTTTTCATTTTGCTTCTTGGGTAAATGAAAAAAAAGTTTGGTCTTTGTTCTGCAAAATGCTGTGGTTGCCATATGCATCTTCAATATACTTTGACTTTTTTTATTGCTTCCTTGATTAATATAATTAGACAGGATGCCCTGTGGTATATTATTAATTGGTAATAACATCTTTCCATTTCAAATTTCTTCACTGGCCCTAAACACTGCGCCTGCACTTTAGGTCATCAAATTACTTTGGGTAAATTGATGGAGTTTCCTTAGTTTTCCTTCACATAACTGAAAATTTCAGACTGGAACAAAATCTATTCAGCTAATGATTTCAATATGCCTTAATAAAATTTCCTTAAGGTAGAAACACAAGTATCTAAATTTAAGCCCCTGAAATTGGTAAGTCATTTTCCATGCAGATTACCAATGTCATTGCAAAATCAAAGTAGAAGACCCTTGAAATTTACACTGACATGTAAATATAAATAAAATGTAAATATAGTCTGTATAATCTGAAGGACTCTCCCATATTTCTTCATGCTTAATATTTGGAACTCCATGATTACTGAGATTATTTATGATGAGGCCTCTTCTTTAGTCATGTATGGTCAGAAAAGGAATATATAGAAGAAGGTGCAGAAAAGGTTGATGTAGGACTGCACAGGATAGCCAGTTCTGTTGAAAATAGTCAGGAAAAGTTTCCTTTTTTAAAATCAGTAGTACAAAAGATTTGTGAGTTGATTGAGTGATATCCATTAATATATTGAAGGGTAAATACTAGAGGGAGAAAACATTTTAAATCTAAGGACAAGAACTTCCTTAATTATCAACAAATTTAGGCTAGAGTGAAATGGCTCATCCTTTTGCTTGTCATGCTAATAAACACTGGTGATATTTTCACTGGCATGATTTATTACTGTAAATAAGGGGACTTTTTTATTATTACATCTTTGCATTATTGCAGGTCTGAACTGCAGCAAGGATAGTGCATATATCTATGGCAGTTCAATTAATGAGTGAAAAAAAATTACAACAGATTCCATGCTCCACCATAAACTGTAACTCATTAATCTGTCAGAGATATATCATTGCAGCTAAAGAGAAATTAGCTGTGATTTAAATTGATTGCTGAGTACTTAACTTTAATTGAAGCATCAAATCTGTGTCAGAGTACTAAGATTTGATTAGTGCCAAACATCCCTAAGAACATGCTTTTCTGTACTGAATAGCTGTAGGGCATTCATTACAAGAAGCAATATAGATATGCTGTTGATTATGATAGTTTGTCTGATTCACAGAATCCTTCCTGATGATATCTGGATAATTCCATAGGTGGAATATTTCTTTCCAGATCAGCTTTCGGCAGTAAAATGAAGGATGACCTTATTGTTCTCA